GATAGAAAGTACAGCATAAAGAATATAACCAATAATATTGTAATAACTATGTATGGTGTCAGAGGAGCACTAGATTTACTGGAGTGATCACTTTTGAGTTATATAGAAGCCTAATCACTATGTTGTGCACCCAAAACTAATATTGTATGCCAACTATAACCGAAAAAAAATTATTATTGTTAAAGATATATATATATAAAATGGACCAATAACTCTAATGTAGATACCTCACCACAACTTTACAGTTGGCAAATAAGCATACGAAAAGATGCTCCACATCATGTATAATCAGGGAAATATAAATTAAAACAACGAGGTACCACTACACACCTATTATAATGGCTTAAATCCAGAACACTCACAACTCCAAATACTGGTGAAGATATGGAACAGAGGAACTCTCATCCATTCCTGGGGCAGTGCACATGGGTACATCTACTTTGGAAGACAGTTTCATGGTTTCTTACAAAACTAAATGGTTTCTTACAAAACCACATGATCCAGCAATCACACTTCTTGGTATTTACCCTAAAAAGATGAAAATATATGTCCCCACAAAATCCTGCCCATGGATGTTTATTATAGTAGCTTTCTTCATAACTGCCAAAACCTGGAAGCAATGAAGACGTCCTACAATAGGTGAATAGATAAACAGTGGTACATCCAGATAATGGAATATTATTCAGTGCTAAAAAGAAATGAGCTATCAAGCCATGAAAAGACATAGGAAAACTTAAAAGACATAAAAAAACTTAAGTGAAAGAAGCCAATCTGAAAAGGCTACATACCACATGATTCCAATTTTATGTCATTCTGGAAAAGGCAAAACTACCAAGTCAGTAAAAAGATCAGTAAAAAGGTCAGTGGTGGTCTGGAGTTAGGGAAGAAGATGGGATGAACAGTCGGAACACAGGATTTTAGATCGCTCCTCTGGTTGGAGTGATCCTGTCCCTGGAGTTAACCAAAATTAACACTCTGGTGTCTTTCCTTCTTTTTTTTTTTTTCAGTGCAGATTTATTTTAACTAAGTTGTGTTCTATTTTCCATATTCTGATTTTTTAAAATTTTCTTAACCCAACAACATAAGGCTTTGCAATTAGAATGTAGTGAAGTGTGCTGTGGTAGCAAAGGCACCCCCACTGACCAGCCTCCTCATCTTGGTTTCCTTATTTATGAGAAGCCAGCATGCCAGATTGTTGTAGAGAACAACAGGTGGCTCACACAGGTGATGTTAGAGATGCAGTTATAAGAGTTTAGCCCACTGGGGCTAGACATTTAATGTCACTAATTTTTCATACTACAGACAATGTTGTATTTAACATTATTTCTGGAGATAGCATCTCAGAAGTGGGATGACTGGTCAAAGGAATGGGTGAATGTAGTTATTACAGACTGTTTTCCAAAACACACAGATTCTGGCATGTGCCTCACTCATGTAGGGAATCAGAAGGGAAGTATGAGAGCAGCAGGAACAAGAGGTGGCTATCTGATCTGGGAGAGAGAAAAGTTGCCTCATAACAGACCCTGTGAAGACTGAACGGCCCTTGTGATATGAACTTGCATGTCCTGCCCAGGCTTGGATACCCAATTGCCTCCCAGTATAGTCCTCTCCAGTATATAGCGTGCCAAATGTGGTCTCCCAGACCATGCCACTGAGCATATGCCAGTGATGCTCCCATGAGGGGCAATAGTCACATGGAGGGCCTGAAGCCACCTGCACTAACAGTGTTTCTTGACCCCTGAAGAAAAGGCTGGGCTGCAGCTGCTGAGCTCTGGACTCTCTGACCAGGGAGAGCCACCTGGGATCGTGGACTTGGACAGAATTCCATAATCTCACCCACTTTGCCTGAGATACAATTTCACGGTCAGCTTTACTCATGATGAGTGACAATAAACTTAAGTTCCCTGTTTAAATAAACTTACTTGGGTATATGAAAAAAAAAAAAGTGCAGTGACTTACACTCTTTAAGCAGACACTGGTTTGCCTTTTCCAGAATGTCATATAATTGGAATCACAGAGTGGTCGCCAGTATCACAACTATTGGAGGAGATCTTGGGTCTCCTAAGCTCCAGACCCAAACACCCCATGGGCCCCTCAACAAGACACCTGAACACCTCAGCCACCCTCCCGCACTCCCTCTGCCCTGACCCTCAACCTGGCATGTCTGATCACTCTCGACAACTGTGGCCAGTGACCCTGGAAATACAGTTGACTCCATCACTCCCTATCCAGACTCTCCTAAGTCTCTCAATAATCACCAACCTAAGCCTTCCGGAACCTGGCCCTGCCTGGCTCTGCGGCCCTTCTGCACTGTGCACCAGTTCTCGCCCTGCACCCCAGCCACACTGGCATAGTGCTCACCATCTCTGCTGCTTCACTCCTACGTGGTGGTCTCTCTGGACACCCTTCCATGTTCTGAATCTAGCTCATGCTGGCTCACATGTGGGAAACACAATTGGCTGCCTATCCAGTATCCACTCCCCCTTCTTTTTTCCTGAGTCCCCGGTGGCATCTAGAGCTGCTAAATCAATCAGCCCAGACGGCAGCTGGTCCTGCACTTTTTGTTACAAGCACCATCACATCTCCTTACTGAGTAGGGACTTATGTTACTCATGCCCAAAAATGTCCTTACCCCACTCTGGGTTCAGCGTTCACCTCATAAGCCTCTGCTGATCCTGCCCTGCAGCAGCGACCACCCCACCCCCACTCCCTACTAGTTTTCCCTGGTAAAGAGCAGATGTTAAGCCCCTCCAACGAATGGACGAATGGGTGAAGAGACCCAGCCCCATGGGCTGCGGTGTGACTTCATGGCGAGGGACAGCAGGAGGACCAGGCTGCTTGTCCCACCCCTTCCATGGAACCTGCATACAGGCTAAAGATTCTCATTCCTCAGAGCCTGAGGTACCACATTCCTTGCTTTCCTGCTGTTCCCCTCATCATAAAGATGAGACCCTGAGAATGCATACAGTGAGTAACATAGTTCTGTGAGGCTCTGCTCTAGGGCCTCGCCTGCCCCCAGCCTGGAGCTGCTGTCTCTGTTACAAAGGGAGGCAGGCAAGTGCTAGAGATTTTCTCAATGAGGCACGCAGAAAAACACAAGGCCCCAAAGTCCCTGCACACCTGCCTCAGAGATGATTCGGGGAACCAATGTGCATCTGGGGAATGCCTATGTGGTAGTAAGACTGGGCTCTGGGGCCAGAAACTCTTGGAGCTGAGTCCTGGCCCTGCCAACTTCTTGCCATGGGACTCTAGCTTGTCTTAGAACCATACCAAGCCCATTTCCTCAGTGGGGGACAGAAGGGGTGGAGCTGTGACCAGGGTAAGGGGTCACCTCCCTGGTGGTTCCCCCCTTACCTGAATGCCTGGTTCTCACGGTTGTTCTGGAGGGCAATGGTTTCCACCTCAGGACCCCCGTCCGCTATAAATCGGGCCAACTTTTCTGCAAGATTCTTGACTTCTTCGTCCTCTGGGGGTGAAACTTTAAGCAGGCTGTCAGTACTGAGCTCAACTCACCACACCCAACAGCCTAATTTCTGCTAAGAACCCCACGGACAACAAGAGGGGTTTATTTTAGGAACAATGCAAAGAAAAACAGGCAAATGGGAATCAGATTACTGCACTGGGACCAAACACCAGAATTAATATTACAATATATCTCAAGCCCCCACCCCCTGTCCTTTCCCACCCTGTAGGTCTCAGGGGCTTTAGGCATATGCTGGGACACAGGAACAGAATGTGAGGGAAGGTCTTTGTCTGGGCTAAAGAGGAGATGAGAACTCCCACTTCGGTCTTTCTGCCGGGGACTGCCCAGCCAGGTTATATGAGGAGATGGGCCTGGCCTTTCTCTCCTGGGGAGGTCAAGTCAAAGGGCTGCAGGTGACATTATGGACCGAACTCTGTGGCCCATGTCAGGCCTAAACATCAATTCCTACCACCCACCAGCACTTGGCTGGGATTTTCATTACAGCTGGAGACCATCCAGCATCTTTCACATCCCCTGACACTCATCCAACCAGGATCTTACCAGCTGATTGTTCTGTCACCCAACCTCCTCAGGCCCCCTCCGCAAGTACCAGACACTACATTTGTCTCTATGTATCCTAAGTGCCTGACATGTGGCAGGTGCTCATTAACACTTGTTAAAATGACCATGAACCAGTAAGCAAGCATGCCTTCTCTCTGTCTCCTTTGTATGTACAGGGCTCAGCTCCTGGCTATGACCTTGACCTTGGCCCTGGGACTTCTCCCCACTTCTCATAGCACTGGTGGGAAGGGTGGTTCCAGTCACGGCTTGACCCTGGCTACCTGCAGGGCACAGACCTAGGTTGTCAATACCACCCCATGCCACCAGGAACCCTTATTCCATGTGGGGTACAGTTTGTCCACACCTCTCCAGAACCTCCCACCACCTCCACCCACTTACCTTTCTGAGAGGTTGTCTGTGACTTCTGTGCTTCCTTTCTAATCTCAGCCACCTTCTTTCTGTAGTAGAGGAACTCCCTGCTATTCTTATCGTGCAAAAACCTAAAGAGGAGTTTTATAAAACAGAGAAAATAAGTGATAGAGCTAGGTGGACCTATGCAGTTTCTGGAGATGTATAATGTAAAAGCAAGCTAGCAAGCAGAAACATCTGACGGGACCCAAAACTAAGTCTCCGCGCCACACTGGAGCCCCTTGCAACCTCTGGTATGAACTAGAAAGTGCTTAGAACAGTGTATGGCCCATGCAAGCAAGCACCCAGCCCCGGCCAGCTTCAATCACCACTAGGGTTCCACAAGAACATCTGCACGTACTACTGTGTGGCAAGAACATTACGGAGCAGTGGCCTTCCCCTCCCAAAAATACTTACGAAAATGCCGGGTTATCCTTGTAGTTCTCCATAGCTACTTTTTCTAACTCGGGGCCTCCTTCTGCCACAAAGCGGGCCAATTTCTCTATCACTTTCCGAGTCTCGACTCCCTCTGGGGGTGAAACTTTAAGGAGGCTGTCAGTACTGGGGTTCAACTCACACACCCCACAGTCAACAGGCACACTCTCTCTATGGACCACAAGGACAGAGGGGTGGGAGGAGAAGAGGATGAAATGCAGGAGGTTGTCAGGCGTCCTGGGTCCATGCACAAAGCACTGTGACGAGGGGGGAGTTGGTCTAAACAGTCTTCACGAGACACACTGGGCGGGAGAGGAGTGTGTGAGCCTCCCAGAGGCTGAGCCGATCCCCAGGCTGGAAGGCAGACGTCAGAAAACATAGCCAGCCTCCCCCCGCCGCCTTTTTTTTTTTTTGGAATGCTTAAGTCTTTTTATTTACCAGTGTTCAGTATAACAAATTGGTTCCCTTACATCCTTCAAAGACGACAAATTCTTTTAAAATATTATAAATTCTGATTTAAACACATTAGGTGGGTTTCAATCCATGGCAATTAATGTCATCATAGAGGCTCAATCGTCCCCTCTGTGGCTGGTGGAGCCTCTTCAAGCTGGCTCCTGAGACCTTTGGACATAACCCCAAGCGTCTTGATTGACTCCTCGCTATCTGCTGGAACTGGATGCTCCAGGATCATCTCATATACTTCCTGCCCAAACCCAGAGCCAGCCATTTCTCGAAGAAGTCCTGATTTCCGTGAGTGAGAAAGTGTTTCCAGTGCTTCTGCGTGCTAGGGATGCTCACTGCAACAAGCTTAATCATTACCTCGGGGCCTTTTTAGTGAACGGAGCTATAAAAATATATTTTTGGATTTGTGTTAGTCTCCCCTTTGAACCACATGGAACTTGCTTTTGTATTTTTTGTTGGCCTGTTTCTGAGGCCGTCGGCCACTATACAGTCGTGTCCCTTTAATAAAAACTCTCGGGAGAAAGTTATTGCCGTCAGTCAGTGCCCGAGAACACTTGCTCCTCTTGGCAATGGGACTAGACACTGAACTTGTGGTGTCTTACTCCCCTTGCTGCTTGGGCGGCCAGGAAGCTGAGACGGGGTTGGGGGGTGGTATACACGTAACCCGAGGACCCTCAAGAGGTCCCCGGGACATCTTTGTGCCCAACTTTCCCCCTAGCCTCACCCTCCTCCTGCATTCCTGACAATGACCCTGACTTGGTCACTTTTTACAAGCACAGGTGCTTTTCTGAGGCCTCATCAATAGGAGTCCTTAATAGGGCCTTCAGATATACACTGCTCCTCGTAAAGCAGCAGTTCCTGGCAGGGTACTGTTGGAACTGCCAAGGCACCTCTCTGAGGAAATGCCACCTTTCCTGGCTCCAATCTAATGCTCCATGGTTTGAGGTTGGCCACTGATCTACTCAGATGCACGGCCTGAAGCTGGCACCTTCATCCGGAGCAAGGGGTCTGTCTAGAGGCTATCACGGCAGACCATATAGTCACTTCAGTCTGTCCTCACTGTCAGGGTGACATGACTGTGCTAGCCAGCCTGGGCAGAGATGGCCCAGGACTCCACAGGGCTCAGGTGGCACTGAGGCCCCATTCTGAATGTGGACAAGGCTGAATGCACTAGGATGATTACCACTACCTCCTCCACCATGGGGCCCAGACTGGCTCACCAAAGTAGCTGTCCTTCCCTGGGCAGGAGAGTGAACTCTCCAACCTGTAGGCTTTTACCTCCAGCCTAAACTGGCAGGGATAGGTAATCACATCAAGAATTGGACCTTCGGGCCTCAGAGGGCTTGGAGGGTATGCATCCAGCCTGGAGAGCCAGGGAAGGTCCTCTTCTCATGTTGGGAGGAGGTCGCAAGTGAATGCTCCCTGAGGATGCCCCTGCCCTGGCTGGAGACCAGCCCCCAGAGTGGATGATAGGTCCCAAGGCTCCCAGGATGAAGCCCGCACTCTTGCAGCCCCTATATGCTCCCTTCTCAGCCCCTCCCCACACCCTTCCTCCCCTTACCCCCATTCCAAAGGATCCCGCCCTGGCCCTCGGCTCAGCCCGGAGGCCTGGCAGCTCCCCTAACCGTAGTCCCAAGCACCCCATACTCCTGGCTGCGTTCTCCCCACTGACCATGGGTCCGCCAACGGAGCTGGAGGGAATGGTGGAAGGAGGACGGCAGCTCCCGCACCTTACCTTTGATCTCCAGCCACTGCTCGTAGTCCTCTTCCTCATCCTCATCAGGAGACTGGAAGACACTCGGGCGGCTGGCCAGGGGCAGCTGCTTGGCGTGCATGTAGTTCTTCACCTGGCCCAATGGGCTGCTGATGATGGGGGGCCTCTTCCCAGCACGGGGGAGCACTCGAGGCGGGGCACTGGGCACACTGGGGGCGGTATCTTGGAGAGAAGGAAGAATACCTGTGCTCCAGCTCTGCAGTGCACCTTTCTGTCTTGCCGCCTAACCCGGGTACCATCAGTCCCTGGGGGCTGGATCCTCAGCTTCCAGCACAGAGCCTGGTGGGTGGTGGGTACTCAGGGAGGACGCCACCCCCATTTAACAGATGAAGGCATTAAGGCTCAAAGAGACTTTTTGTGGTCACCCAGCCCAGGGCAGCAGCTCTGGTTAGAGGTGCCCCTAATGCCTACACTGACAAGCAAGGGACACACCAGCTCTTCCAGATAAGACCTGAATCCCACACCCAGTTTACAACCATTCTCTCTGTCAACGGCAAGCCTGAATAGGCATATTCTGGGCTTTTCAAACACAGACCCTGTGATGAAGGGGTCATCCAGCCTGTCCTCCTATTCTGTGGGTAAATTTGGCCTTGGGTTAACTTTTTTTTAGATGTTCCCTAGGAAACCTGACAAAAGTCGAAGGTCAGCTATTTCACTAGCACCTTACAGTAAAAATGAACTCCAACTGGTAAATAATACAACTATAGTTATCGGTGGGCTCCCCGAGGGCAATGATTCTCACACCTGGCATGTCCCATGGGCTCCTATGGTCCAGGAAGCTCCCCACCTATGAAAGGAGGTCCCATTCCTCACACCTGAACTGCCACTCTGACCCAAGCCTTCCTTGGTCCCACAGCCCTGGGGCCTGCTTAGTCCTGGCCTCCATGTCCCTGGACCAAAACCTGAGTTGTCTCCACTTCTATAGGGTAAACACCTTGAGGGTGGGGTTTGCACTCTTGCCCTGGGCATTAAGTGTGGGAGTGAGCGAAATGAGGGTGCTCAATGAATTTGGGATGAGAGGAAAAAGTCTGAGGCTGGGCCTGCCATTTTTGAGAAGCCAGGGACTCCCAGGGGAGAGAGCAAGCAGTGTGAGTGTGAGTCTGAGCAGGAGATGGCACAGGGGAGACTGCACTCACCTGTGCTAGTCTGCGCCTTCTGCAACTTCAGAAACTGCTGCAAGAAGCTGCCATCGTTGGCAAACTTGTTGGAAACGGAAGAGTTGTGTGCGTTGGCAATTCTAGACCCATGACAGAAGACAGAAAGGGTGAGCCTTGAGCACAGGGGCTAAGCATGCCTTGCTTGTCTTGGCCCCATACCCACCCAAGTTCTCACCTGCTGGGACCCAAAACCAGCCCCTAGAGATGGCTGGGGACTGCCGAGTATACAGAGCAACCTTCAGAGTAGTAAGCTGGGAGAAATCTTGTTCTATTCAAAGCAATGCTACATATACTGATGTCAACTCTTCCCAAATATTGACCTTCTAGGTCCAAACAGCCTCCTCAACAAGATGGCTCAGAACCACCTGCTCTCTTCCCGCATAGTACCTATCATACCTGTTGTTAACTAATTATTTGAGCTGTTACTGGCTTCCAAGTGTGTCTTCCCAGCTAAACTTACAGTTCTCCAAAACAGGGCATATTGTGTCTGAACCATGTGTGACTATAGCTCCAAACCTGGGTCAGCCAGTACTTCTGTGGGGATCACATATACACAGGAAAACACCTAAAGTGATCTCTTGCTGGGAGAACCATAGGGGAATTATGTATTTTTATTATTTTTATTTTCTCTCTTTTTGCAAACAGTATGTTTTATTCAAATTTTTTTAAAAATCTATTTCTAACATATCAGCACAAAAGCAAACCCAGGGGCTTGAATGTTTAATTCAAATTCATTTTTCCCTCTGATAAAATAGAGGCTCATTATGAGCAAATGGGAATGATGAAAAACAGAAATATAGAAAGCAAAGGAAAAAATGCAAGTCTTCCCACTTCACATTAGCTACTATTAACACTTTGGTGTATTTCTTTGATTTGTCCCTAAATTAGAAATAGAAGGAAACTACATATTCTGATCACAGAATATGTCCCACGTCTTCCATTTTCTATTACAATGTTCCATTCTGCTCCAACCTTGAGAATTCTTTGTATACATTGCTTCTTAAGGCTGAGTAATAATCCATCATACAGACCCACCCAATAGCTGATAAAAAGCTCCGGAGGCAAAAGGTTTAGCCTTTTTCCCTTAAAATTAAGTTTTATCCTACTAGAAATCTGTTCTAATAAACTAAAATGAAAACAACCTAAGTAATCAACCTAAGTAATCAAGGGGTACTAGCTAAATAAATTATGGTACATCCACAAGGCAGATGGAGCAGCCCCGAAGTTAAAATTTTAGAGATAAAGTAATCAAGTGCAAATGAAAAACAAAAAGGCATGATATAAACAATATCTACAGTATAGTGCTACTTGTGTCAAAATATACTTGAATTAAAAATTGTCAGAAAAACCTATCAAAATGCAACTAGCACTTGTCTTTTGGTTGCAGGATTATGACTGATCTTGGTTTTCCTCATTTTCCTCTCCTCTATTACCCAGATTTTATAACATGTTTATAAATTATCATTAAAAAAATAGGCACTAAAAAAAGTGGTTTTTTTAATAGGCAGTAAAAGTTATTTTACATGAAAGAGAAAGTTCTGCTGATAATCAGCCTTGGCATTAAACAAGCAGGGCCTTCTGGTGATAATGGCCATGTCCTCTCACTTTGTGCATCTCCCAGGGAAGGGAAGAAGATGCAAACAACAAAGACAAAAAAAGACCTCAGGGCGGCAGTTAGTCAGCAATGAATCCCACTTCAAAACCACTTGAAACAAATGGTGGGGGTATCACACAGCTGTTAAAAAGGCTGGCTCTTAATGAACAGATAAAAAGTGGCCTTTCCACAGTGGAATATTATTCGGCCATAAAAAAAAAAAAATGAAGTCCTGACACATGCTACAACGTGATGAACCTTGAAAGCATTATGTTCAGTGAAAGAAGTCAAGACACAAAAGGCCATGTCATACATCATATGAAATATCTAGAATAGGTAAATCCATAGAGAAAGAAGTAGATTAGTGGTTGCCAGGGGCTGGGGGAAGGGGAAATAGGGGAATAACATAACGGGTATGAGGATTCTTTTTGGGGTGATAAAAATGTTCTGGAATTAAATAGTGATAGTTGCATGATGCTGTGAGTATACTAAAAAGCACTAAGTTGTCAATTTTATGGCATTTAAATTATATCTCATTAGAAATAAATAAAACTTAAAAATTATGATGGTTAAAGAGTTATAATGTGGGGGAAAGCTTTTCTTTCAAAAAGTGGATGTGGGGGGAAACAGCACACAGAACTGATCACGACTTCATGAAACAAGGCAAAAATGTGGGAAGGGAATGTCATCAAAATGGTTGTCTTGAGACAATTTGAATGTTTCCTATTCCTTCAGCAAGAAATTTTAAATGTTAGTGTTCTATGCTTTTACAACATATTTGCATAGCTACCTGTACCATGCACCACCCACTTTGTTCCTTTTCAGCTACCTGATCCCGGTGCTGGTATTCAGCAGCCTCCAGGAGACCCTCTTGAAAGTGATCCTACAGGCCTTTCCTATCTTAGTGAAAGTCCTTCCATAACTTCAGAGGCAAGAGCCCACCTACTGACAGATCACTCAACATCCAGTCCCCACTTCCTGGGCACCCTGGAGGTGCCAGGCCCTGGGTTGCAAAAGGAATAAGATCTAAATCCTGCCCTCAAGGAGATGCCACAGACTCTTAGAATAGGTGGGAGCTGGAACAAAAGTTGGTAGAGGATTACCATGATCCACACTTCAGACCACACAGGAAGGGGCTGCCTCTCACTGTCCATAACCAGTCTGAAATTCTTAAATCTCAGCACCCTTGCTTAAAACTCTTAGGTGCCTGCAGTGTTTTTCAGGACAGGCTGGAGGAAACCCTGCCTGAAATATCTTCCACCTGGGTCTGGAACAGCCCCTTTAGCACAGCAGATCAGGCTGCTTGACACATGGCGGTTCTCTCCCCTCTCTGCCCTCTGTGGGGAAAGCCTTTCTCTACTTCCTCAATGGACTGGCTTTGCCTGAGCCTTTAGAATGCACAGCCTGTTCTGCGCTCCTACAGTGGGAACACACTGCTTCATGTTACCCACTGGCATCTCTGGGGTTAGAATTGGCACCCTCTTTGCCAGTATTGGGAGCCCCACAAGAGCAGAGACAGAGTCTGGATTTTTGCTCTGTAATACACCCCTAGCTTGTCAGCAGTAAATAATTGTCAAGTCAAGAATATAGCAGGCCATCCTCTGGGCTCCCACACATCCCTAGTTTCTGTCCTGCCACACTAAGCCTCCTGAAAGAGAACACTTGTGTCACTTCTTGCACCATCAGGGTGTAGCCAGATGTAGATACACTGTGGCTACTCTTGGAAGCAAAACCTCTGCCGGTGACTCTCTAAGACTTTAATTCAGCCGCAAAAGACACTTACTCGCCAGGATGTGGGGGCTGAGGGCTGGCCACCTGATTCTGCTTGGCTTTCTGCTCCATTCTGGCTTCAATTTCACGTTTCTTCTGAGCGATGAGCTCTTCTTGGTGAAGGATATTCATGTTCATTTTTCCAGACTTGGGAGGAGCAACCCCAAACCACCGGTTAGCCTTTCCTGGGGAGGATAAAGAAGCACATCAGAAATCACCTTTGCTTAACAAACATACCCACCAACTGCTGCCTGCAGCAACTGACATTAAAACTGACATTCATACATCCATTCATTCATTTATTCAGCAAACATTTACTGAACTATGTAGCAGGTGCTGTTATTAGGTGCTAAACAAGAGAAATGGGGCCTCTACCCATATAGGACTCACCTCTGGCTAAGGAGACAATAGACTTGTAACAAAAAAAGGAACTGCAAAATTGTGATAAGAACTCTGTTGTAGAAACCAAAAAAAAAAGTGAGGAAAAATAACAGAGAAGGATCTATGGCTAAGGTAGCAAAAAAAATAACCATTAGAAGAAGGGGCATTTAAGCCCAAACCAGAAAGATAAAAAGCCAGCCTCCTGAAAAGCCACATAGAGCACAATCTGGGCAGTATAAGGAGCAGATGCAAAAGGCTGGAAGAAGACTAGTGCATCCAAAGATTAATAAAGGTCCAGAGTGGCCAGAGCGAATGGTTCCAGGAATAGTGGTGCAAGAAAGCAAGTCTGGGTTTTACTTTAAGATTTTGGGGATGTGACAGGGGAGTATTAAGCCAATAAGATCCAATAGATATTTTTATTTTGTTTTTAAAATCATTCAGTCTACTGATTGGAGAGAGTACATAGGCAGCAAGGAGACCCACAAGGGGACTATCTGGCTCCACGCAAAAGATGATGGTGTCTTCAGACACAGGTGGTAGCTTTGAGGATGGAGAAGACACCTCCAAGTTTCCCCATGGGACTGGGAATAAAATCTAAATTCTGAAAGTCAGTTTCCAAGGCCCCTCTCCATTTCCACTTCATCCTTGACATTCTGCAAAATGGCAAGCCTATCCCACCCCAAGGCCTTGCCATCCCTTCTCTATATGGAAGGCTCGCCTCTGCCTCCCAGGCCTCCTCATCTCAAATGTCTTCTGCTCAAAAAGGCCATCCATGACCACTCTGTATCAGCAGCCACCACCTACATTCTCTCACATCATAGCTCTCTCTGCAAATATTTTCTCTTGGTGCACTGTCTCACACCCTAATATAAAGTAACTTTGACGAAGGCAGGGCACTGTTTTAGTTATCATTGCATCTCAGCGCCCAGCACTGCGCCTGGCTCCTATTGAGTATTTGCTGAATGGGTAAATGCATCCCAGGCTTGCGGGGCTAGAGCTAGGAGAGAAGAAAGGGCAAAGCTGTGGTAAAGTGGGGGCTCAAAAGACCCAGGAATGTGTACATCCAGAAATATCAGAGAGCAGTTCGGAAAGCGGCTTTTCCATAAAGCGGTACACAGGCCAGACGGTAGCTGCTACGAAAACAGAAGCACAAGACAGCCCAAGGTTGCCGCTGTTTCGGGCAACGGAGCCTGGAGGAGCCTTGAAGGCAGTTATTTCGGAAAAAATAAACCCGGGTGGCAGTCTTTGCAGAGAGCCAGGCGCCGTCAGCAAACCAGGCCTGGGGAGCGGGTGGCGGGCAGCTACTGGGTCTGGGGTCTTGGGAGACCGGGAGGTGCAGAACTCGCCACTTCAGGCTGCACCAAGGTTGAGGTGAGGGGCTGGCGGGTTCGGGCGGGCCTGACCTGAGCGTGAAGCGGCGACGCGTAACCCCAAAGATTCAGGTAGGAGCTTGAGAGGGGGTGGGGGCTGTTACCTGCAACATCCCGGTTGTCCATCTTGAGACTCATCCAATCCCACAATGCTCCAGCGCCACCTGAGGGGGCCTGTTATAGTGCGCATGGCCTAATGGGAGATGTAGTCTACATCAGCCAGCCACGCCCTGCCGCTACGGAGACGCTTCGAGTCTTCCTCGTTGGAACGCAAACCTCGGCCTGTGGGCAACGTCTAGTCTCAATTTTGCGGACCAGAAGGCGTCGCCTTTTTTCACACCTTCCCGGAGTCGCAGCCACTCCAAATACAAACTACATATTCCGGGATGCTTTGTGCGGCAGCTCTCGCGAGAGACGCAAGGAGAGCCCGGCCCCGCCCCGTTTGCCTGCTTCCGCCTCCCTGTGGCGACGGCTTGTTGTTGTGGAGGCCAAAATGGCGGCTCAGGCGGCGGCGGCGGCCCAGGCAGCGGCGGCCCAGGCGGCGCAGGCCGAGGCGGCCGAGTCGTGGTACTTGGCGCTTCTGGGCTTCGCCGAGCACTTCCGCACGTCCAGTCCTCCCAAGATCCGCCTGTGCGTGCACTGCCTGCAGGCCGTGTTCCCCTTCAAGCCGCCACAGCGCATCGAGGCCCGAACGCACCTGCAGCTCGGCTCCGTGCTCTACCACCACACCAAGAACAGCGAGCAGGCGCGCAGCCACCTAGAGAAGGCGGTGAGCGCGGGCTGGGCCGCGAGAGAGAAGGCTCGGGCTCTTTACGGGGCCTTGGCTGACGGTCTGCGATCCCGGCGGGCGGGGGCCACCTGGGCTGCTCCTCGGGTCCCTGGGGTGCGACTTCCGCACGAGCGGCGGCACGCCGAGGCCGCCAGCCTCACCCCGTACGTTATTTAACGTCTCTGGTAACAGGCAAGGTCCAGGACTCCGCTATTCTAAGGAACAACAGGGTCTCCAAATTCTTCAGGTTTTAAGGCGGAGATTACCTGTTGACACTTAGGGGGTCATCCCCAGATCGGCCAGTGGGTGCTGCAGCTTCTAGCTTCTCAGAGCTCAGCCCCGGGAGCATCAGCCCGTAAGCTCCCTCCTGAAGTGACTCGGGATAAGGAAGGATTGAGGTGACAGTGCAGGCATCTCTTGGGAATCTGAAGTTTGGTCTCTCAAGAAACCTAGGAAGGCATCTTTTCACTTATTAGACTGGGAAGTCTAATAAGTGTCTGGAGGGTATTGTGTCCCCATCAGTGACGTGAGGTGGGAAGCAGAGGCCCAGAGCCTAGAGTTGGTCATTTGAAGTTCTATAAGAAAGTGGAACAGAGAGGAGTCTGGATTCCAGGACCAGTTGCTCAGTGGCGGGGGAAGGGTACGGGATCTCGCAGCTCTCGCTTTCTCTATCCACCAAAGACTTCTTTTCCTCCCACCATCCACTAGTCCATTCCCTTAAGGCAGGCCTCATTTCCTCCCACCCCCAGTCTTGACCTCTGAGATCTTGGTGCTTCAAAGAATGTGTGAATGTATCTGTTATTCTACCCTTTCTGGCTGTGGAGTTTCTTCTCACAACAGTGCTGAATGGTCCCTCTTTTTGCCATTTACTCTTTAATTCTCCTTAAAGAAGAGACTTGAATAGACTCGACTTAGATTTTTAAAATGTATTGATCTGAGGTAAATCTGAACCCACCCATGGCTGGTAACGAGTTGCCTTCATGAAGATACCAAATCTTTTTCTTGCAGACTATGATGTTGGAAGGGGACTTTAGTCCTTGCTTGATCAACTTCCTTGTTTCAGGAGTGAGATATTATGAGCTCAGAGAAGTAAATTGATTTGTGTGGTCCAAAGCCACACAGCAAGTTATTAACAAAACTGGGCTCAAACCTAGGCTCAAGATTGCTAGGTTCCACACCAAGAAAGTAAGTTGTTACTGTTTTTGTGAATTTTTATTCTTTCATTCATTCAGCAAGTACCTATTCAGCTCACACCAGGTGCCGGTCCCTATTCTAGGTGCTAGGGATCAGTAATGACTAAAATAGTCCCTGCCCACATAAGCTTATGTTTTAGGGGGACAAATAAGGAATATGCAGTAAGATACATATGTAGTAAAATACTGTAGGCAATGAGAGGAGAACCATGAAAAATATAAACCAGGGAGAAGAGATAGAGTTGACAGTGGTGAGGGAGTTTCTATTTGTGGGAGTGACATTTGAGCAGAGCCCTAAATTGGGTGAAAGAAGTGAGCCTAAAAGACCACTCAGGGTATCAGATGCATCTGGAGTGCCTGAGCTGTCAGTGATTGGTGACTGGTTTGTGTCAGGGTCTCTCATAGCAGTGATGAGAATGAGATCAAATGAAACACAGGCTTCTTTGGATGTGGAGGTGGGGAGCTGGAGGCTGTGACTCCTGGTGCCTGGGGCCAGCGTCTTCAGTAGATGCTCCCTGTTCTGAAGTTCTTCCTTCTCTTGATGAACAATAAATCTTGCCACCTCCCTTTCCTTGTCTAGAAAGCCATTGCTTCTTGCAGTGGTTCATAGTCACTTTGTATATCGTCACATTTTACCCACTCACCACTATTGAGGGGAAGCAGCCATGCCTCAGATTGCTTCTTTGTAGCCATTGGCTTTTGGACCCATAATTTTAAACTGTTACTCTTGTGAAGTGCCTTCCCTCGATTTTACATAACCCTGAATCTTGTGGGATCTTCCACAAAGCCACAGGGTCCCCTCTATAGCTTACATTGACTTTACACTTGGAAATCTCTTTCTGTTCCTTGCATTCTCAGCTGGGAATTTGTCCAGATTTCAATTAAAGTGTCATTTCCTGTGCTGTTTTCTTCTGAAATCGTGATCTCCTTTTGTGTTGCAATGCAAGCATGCTCTCTTTAATCATTATTTGTTATTGTGCATTTTTCCCAAATCAGGCAGATATCAACTTTTATTCTTTCCTTTCCCAAACTCACTTGATAAAGGATAATATTTTCTCCTTTTAGAAGTGATTTGCTAATTTCTAGTTCTGAAGAGCAAATGCCAGAGAGGTTTCAATTTCTTCTTAGGGAACCCACCCAAGGTAACAAAGAAAAAAAACTTTTTAAAGAAGGTAAATGACTCTCAAGTATGTTGTGATGATTTTCTCCTTGATCATTTCTCCTGTTCTTTCCTGAAGTAATTTTCCTAACTTATAAGTTCTATAGGTAAAACTTTCTATCGGCCTCTAAACTTACTACTACATTCAGCTTCCCTGTTATTTTCATTGCCTTTTGCTTTCTGTCTGAGAGACCTCAACATTCGGTAATCACTTTTTTATAT